GTGCTATAATATAATTGGAATTACCGCTTCCATTGGTGGAAAAGTAAATGATATGTGGACTTTGCAATCCACCTAAAGCACATTAATAGCTTAGTGGGACATGTTGGTTATAAAAAGGCAATGGCATTTGTCTTCCAGGAGGCGAGTGACAGGAGAGAGGAGAGCTCTGTAGGTGTCATCTCAGGGGACACTGTTGGGTCAGAATTATCAAAGTCTGCGTAAGAGGACAGAGTGACTTTGTATCAAATCCTATCATTTTTCTTATCTAAAAATACCAAAGGCTGTACACACATGGTCTCATTTCTTTCTTCTTATGATTTACAACTGAGACTTCGAAGAAACCCTGAAATTTGGGAGCTGGTGAGATGGCACAGCTGGTAAAGGGGGTTGCCAGGCTTTGACCTAAGGTCAGTCCCTAAAACCCATGTAAGGCGGAAGGAGAGAACTGATTCCACAGAGCTGTTCTCTGGTGTCCATATAGGAACGATGGCACAGGAGCCTACCCACACATACACACCAATAATAATAATAATAATAATAATAATAATAATAATAATAATAATAATAGTTGTAACTAATATTAAAAATAAATAAATAAAAAGAAGTGACAACCCCCCCAAATAATAGTGATAATAACTATTATTATAATTTTTAAACTTCAAATTTTCAACAGACCCATGGAAAAAGCTCAGCATCAGCAATTATGAGAAAAATGCAAATCAGAACCACAGTGACATGTCCCCTCCACTCAGTTAAGAATGGCTGTCCCCAAAAGAAAAAAAAAAAGATGAGGAATTATTCCTAGTCAGGAATGTATTTGAATGGTAGAGTGCTTTCCCATCATGCCTAAGACCTTAAGTTCAATCCCCAGCATTGCAAATGAGTAAGTAAATAAAATGTTGGGTACAGAGAAGAGAGAGCTCTTATATACTGTGGTTGGTGGGCTGTGAAAATTATGCTGGTCACTATGGTCACTGGGGTGGAGGTTCCTCACAGAGTTAAAGTGAGGACTACCAAGTAATCTAGAGGAGCCAGTATTTCATTTGCCAAGAGAAACTCTCAGTCTTACAGGAGAGAGATCCACATTTCTGATTATAACAGCATTGTGCAAAAACAGCCAGCATGTGACGTCAAGTCGACGTCAATCATGACATACATACATGTATATGAACGTGATGGCTGTATGCGTTTTTCTGAACAGCATCAGCCTCACCAGTGAAGGAAGCCCTGTCATCCACAACAGCCAGGAGGATTCCAGGTGACGTAAGTCAGACATAAAAGGACAAATAAAATGTGGTCTCATCCACACATGGGATTTAAATTGATGTTACATTAATAGAGGAGAAGATGGTGGTTATGAAAGGCTCTGCTGCTTAGCCATAGGCTAGGATGGGGAGAGGTTGGACAATAGATAAAAAATTATATTTACATAGGGGGAATGAATTCTGGTGTTCAATTGCACAGTGGGTTGATTAAAGTTAATAATGTATATTTTCAAAATAGCCTTTGCCATTCAAGTGATGTACATTCAAAATAGCCTGAGAGAACTTCAACTATTTTCACCACAACTGGCAATTTTACTGAGATTATAGATATGTTCATTACCTTGATTCAATTATAGCACTACCTACACATGAACAGAGCATCCCATTCACCCCATAAATATGTACAATTACGAATATGCCAATTAAAAATAGCAGAACTCTTAAAGAGCTTGTCAGGCAAGTGACTTCACTAACATCACCATTGAACTAAAAATCCCACTCAGAACCGACAACCAAAATGAATCTCTTTTATACAAAGTGCTCAAGCAGAAACAAAGTTAGAATCTCCATGGAAACAACCTGGAACTCTTGAAGGAGAAGCGAGGACAAAAGTAAGCATGAAAACGCACTTATTTATTTATTTTTTTTGTTCCTCTTCACCTCTGCCCCTTTCAAGCCTCAGGCTGTCATCTTAATGAATGCTTTTAAGACTCCGAAGGAATTAAGAACAACATTTGACAGGAGCGAGGAAGGGACTAAATATAGAGCTTCTGTGAGAGAAATGTATTCTGTAATCTCTGCTGCTCCCATTCCTTCCCCTAGCTGGTAAGCGCTCTCTCTTTCTGGGTTCCTTTTGTGTGGCTGTTACTGTACAGCTTGGGCGTTGGATTATTTAGCTGTTGTTAGGTTGGGAGGAAATGAAGGTAACAGCGTGAAGCACAATTTTGTTTTCTTCAGAAGGGTCATTTAGGGAGATGTTGAATGCAGCTACCAAATTAATGTTGTAACGCTGCTTCGTTGGGGCAGAAGATGCCTCTCGGCGGGTTGAAGGCTGGCCCAGCATGCACAAAGCCCCGGTTCCATCTCCAGTATTTACAAAACCAGACGTGGTGGTGCACACATGGAACCTCAACACCCAGGAGGGGGAGGCAGGAGGATCAACAATTTGTGGTTATCGTGGCTATAGAGTGCGTTCATGACCAGTCTGAGCTATCCGAGACCCTGTCTCAAAAACACAACCAACAGAAAACACAAAATAACAACAAAGCCTAACTTTGTTATTGTCTCAGTCTAACTTTCACTTGCCCAATACTTTCAGACTTCTAAAAGGCTTTCTTATCAGCTAGTCCATCCCGTTAGCTCATTTTTTTCTTGTCACTAACACAATACCACAACTGAGTGTGTTGTAAAGAAATGAGTTTAGCTTTGGTCCATGGTTCTGGTTTATCACAAAGACAGCTCGTATCGTGGTGGCTTTCTTGCTGGCAGCCTTTAGGCACTGCAAGGCTTCACGCCGTCAGAAAAAGGGAGTTCACAAAAGACTTTAGCAAAGTTGTTTTTACAGCAGGGACACTCTGAAATACGTCATTAACCCCCCAGCCCACATGAGTGGGTCACTGTTGGTGAACGCAGAGAGAGCATTCTTCTCTTGACGATCACACCTGGACTGAGCTCTGAGCATCTCCCAAGGAGAGTTAAACCTCCCTGTGAGTTGAAGAAGAGAGCAGCCATGGCTTTCATCATTGAATCTGCAGAACGCAAGGGTGGGTCCCAGTAACTCGCTGCAGCAGCGCATCACTCCGCTGCTAAGCGGTGAAACCAGGACTCATTCCACACCCTGGATCTCAGGCAGGCTGTCCTTTTAAATACCAGTGGCCTTCCGGGCCAGTGTAGACATTACATCATTGTATCACTGTCCTTTTCATTAGATATTAATTTTTTTCATTTCTTTTTAGAAATTTATGCATTAGCATTACAAAGTACCAATCTTCCCCTCTCTCATTATTATACATCAGAAAGTGGTCTAAGAAAAATGTACAGCCTCGCTAGAATAGGTAGCGTTCTGGGTTTCCTGAGTCTGGCTACTTTCGATAAGTTTTCCCCGGAACTGTCTGACCTGTTTTTAATCAATAAATCAAATATTACTTCAGGCTCAGCAATAGATGGCTTTGTTGAGGGACAGAAGTGACCTTTCATAAATCTGAAAAATTAAAATGGTCACTAGTACATCAAGCAGCTCAGAAGCAATTCTGCTGGCGGCCGATAGTACCAGCGGCTCCGGGTACCGCCTTCCACCGCTGTCTCCATTTTCAATGGAAGTTTGAACCGGAGGCTGGTTATAAAGCGTGATGCTCTTTGTGCGTGCTTTTCTGTTGCTTCCGAATACTGAAAACTCATGGCGTTCAAGATATGCCGTGGATATAGGAGACATGAGGGCCATGAGTTCAACAAACTAGCCACAGTAAAAGGAAAATAACATACACTCTTTAAGATAATTAGTAGACCATCACGCCCTTGGCATTTTAACTCATATGGCTTATTTGACTTCCTAATGCATACTTTACTGCATAGTTGTCGAAAAGTAAAACACAGGGACTTTCCATGTGGGTGGCCATCCCTATAGCACATTGCAGTGATTGCCCCCAGGAATTTCCTCCCTCTGTCTTTGGCTTTGCATTGAGGGAGTGCTCTCTGACACTTACGACTATCAGAGGCTGGTATTTCTGTTCCAGGACGCTATATGAGAAGTCTGAAAATATCACTGAAAAGGGGGGTTAGTAAAAGCAATTTGGGACCTGTAGGGAGGCTAAAGGGGGAAGATCTCCAAAAAAGCTACCTCCAGAAAGTGAGCGAAAGGCTAGCCGGGGCCTTCTAGTCGGACCTTGTCTGGAAAGTTAGAAGTTGGGACTGGGGATGGACCTCAATTGGAGTCAAACCCCTGGAGGGGCCACATACATCAACTGTGGTGGTGCACGCCTATAACCCCAACACTCAGGAGCTGAAGACAGGAGACCAGAAGTTCAAAGTCATTTTCTATTACATAGCAGGTTTGAGCTCAGTCTGGGACACATGAGAGCCTTTCAAAAGTCAAAAAAGGGGATACGAATGTAGTTTAATGTCAGTGTGAGGACCCAGGTTCAATTCTAGCACCACAAACAAATAAGCCAGAACAGTCGGCTCTATCGGCATTTCTAGAAATGCTCCAGCGCCATGTTTACCTGATGCCAGCAGTACTGTCCTGACCCAGGCTAGGGCTGCTCACAACCCTCTCCTTCCCAGTCATCACCAGTTCTCAAGGAGATGACTGGTCCTTCAGATTCAGTTTAAGGGGATGGTCTACTTGCTACACACAGGGCACATATGTAGTGAGATTTACTTTAAAGGCCGGAGAATACAGCCTCCGAGAAAGTTTTCTGTTCACAGAAAATGTTTTCCATGGGGCATGGTTAATCAAACTAGTTTAAGAGAAACAGGGCTGGGGGCTGGGAATGTAGATCAGTTGGTAGAGTGCTCGCCCGCCTTCAGGAAGTCCTGGGCTTGGTGGTGTGTCCCTACTACCAGCACTCGGGAGGTAAAGGTCGAAAGTTCAAGGTCATCCTTGGCTACCTGGCAAGTTCATAGTCAGCCTCTTTCAAACCGAGGAAGCGAATTAAAAAAAGAACCATTCTGTTTTCCTGCAGAATTAGAAATAATCAATGCAACAGCAGTTTTTAAAAATTATATTTAATACAAGTGAATAGATTAGAAGATCTGAAATGTTATAAAGCGATGTACACAACAAATAAATAATTTGCACAGGAGAGCCACGTCTCCATTGCAGACCACTGTCTGGTACGGGAATACTTAAATCCAGTGACAATGGAGAAAGTCCATAAAAATGCTAACCTGTTGTCCCTTGTATGAAGGTCTTCAAGTATAAAAGTCCAATACAGTGTAAAATAGTATTCAATTTAGTTTAAGAGTAAAAATTGCAAGTACCGCACTTTCAGAAGAAAAATATAAAGCAGTATTTTAAAACTACATACACTACACAAGGAAAGTGAGGAAGTCATGAGTTCCCGATGGGTGAGAGCTACAGGGGTAAGACAATCAAAAGAAAGGAGCACAGAGCCAGCAACGTAGCTTGTTTAAAAAAAAAAAAATCTCAAGACTAAAATAAACTCAGATGTGTTCAGGTAAGAACACCCTCTTGAACAGTGCACATATGAATTTAAATAAATCCAAGCCAACATCTTTAGTTGAATAGGTTAATATTTAATATGCTACATCTAGACCTACTGAATAACTTATGCCATGAGATGAATACATACTTTTACAGTGTCACGTCTAAAGTTCCTTCCTTTAGAGTGCAGCATAGTAAAACTTAAAAATAAATATCTTAAATAGGATTATTATTAAGGCACATTATAAAGTACAAGATCATCAACTGTTGAAAAACTGTAATGTCAAGAACCTTGCTGTCTTAGGTACTGTAGTCACTAATAAATAGCTTTAAATAGGACTCTGAAATAGATACGAAAAAAGTGTAAAATTATTTAAAAAGGGGGGAAGAAAATAAAGGTCCTCCAGACGGTCCTGAAGGGTTGAGCATCTGCAAACTCTGCCTGCCTTTACCCATAATCCCCTAGTCCGGACAATAAATAGAAAGAGTAGTGGTGGTGCCGAAAACCTGACCAGCAGATGAAAGTTCCCCCAAGTGAAGCAGCGGCGGGGAGAGGGGTTAGAATGTGACCAACCAGCGCCTCCCACGAGCACAGGCGACGGAGGCTTGGCGGAACTGTGTGCGCTATTGATTGTCTGAGCGGCTGGCACAGTGTCAGTTGCTTCACAAGCCCACGAGTCCACAGAACAGATGAGAAAATCGCTTTGGTACCTGTCCACCACTGTCCCTGCTGCCACTCTCCTGAAGTGATTGTTCGATGCCCATTTTGGAGATAGCGCGAACACTACCTTCTGCCCTAAGGAAGTCCCGCAGGCCTCGGTGGCCGCCACGGAGGTCGGCCAGCACTTGTGCTGTCTCAGCTGCTTTTTTTTTTTTTTTTTAAATGTGCCTTTACACATAGTTCAAGCTACAAATCGCTCACTCCGTATTCCCTGGTTCAGCTAGATTCACATAGCGTTTTCTAACTTGGAAAAGGCAGTTTGCTTCCCTGATACTATAAAAAAGAGCAAAAAAATAAAATAAAAATAAAAACCCCCGATATAAAAGTGAAGTCCCATTGATACCTACCCCCTGCCATCGTGTTCTAGCGGCTGTTCTGTGTAACTCAGGCTCTTTGGGATTGACTTCAAAAACTGCTCCTCGCCCTCCCGTTCTCCCTCTCCACCTGCAGCACTACCCAGAGTACGAAAAAAGGAAACCACTGCTTCACAACAGCTTCGCTCTCTCCCTTTAAAAGCTGTCAGGTCCACGTTAACTTTCTCATTAGCTACTAAGAACTGGGAAAGTGGGGGGGGGGGAGAGCAACCCCTTTCCCCCTTTCGACTCCGCTCAGCCTCTGCTGGCCTACTGCATTCGGTCGGTCTGCAGCTGTTGAGGCTGGTACTGGCCAAAGGCTGCGGCGGCGGCAGCTGCCGCGGCCGCGGCCGCCGCCGTCCCAGGTGCAGCGGCGGTGATGGGCTGCTGGACAGCGTAGCTGTAGCCCCCAGCGGTCACATAGCCGGCGGCGGCCGGGGACGCTGCGTAGGGGTACTGGTCGTAGGCCGCAGCGGCCGCAGCTGCGGCGGCCGCGGCCGAGTACTGTGCGTAGGCCGCTCCAGTGTAATCGATGTACGGCGTGGTCGAGGCCGCGGCTGCCGTGGGCTGGACGTGCGGGATGACCACTCCAGGCTGCACAAAAGCCTGCGGGTAGACGTAGTGGGCGGGGATCCTGTCGAGAAACGAGAAACCAAGTCAGGCAGCGGCCCTCTCAGGCGGATCTCTTCGCCCAGAGATGGAGTCAAACTCAAATTTAGTGGTTGCTATCAACATAGGGTTGCCACAATATCTGCGCTTCAGCGGCCCATTTGATGCTCCCCTGGGAGAGTTCACCAGCCAGGAACCAGAACGAACGGCATTCTCCCCGTTAGAATTTGCGCCGTGACTTCGAACCAGGCAGGATCATGCCCGCCAAGTTGGGTAAGTGAATCATGATTCGCCAGGGCTGTGCGTGGAAGAGTGATCGAACAGGGACTGGAAAATTGGTACAGAGATACGTCTATCAAATAGAAGGCTCTATGCCAGGAACCCAGGCCTCAGAGCTTGTCTGAGATTCCCTGGCTCTGCCGGGGGGGGGGGGGGGGGGGGCGCCGGCCGCGCTGGGGGGGGGGGGGGGGGGGGGGGGGGGGGGGTTACAGCCCGGCTGTTAAGGAGAGGAGGGACTCGCCTCGCGGTGCTGTTTATCATGGCAACCCTATTTGAAATCGCTAGGCAGACTCAGCACACATTAATCTCTCGGCAACCTCAGTCACCCTGATTAAAAATCATGATTACGAAAGAAGCAGGCGACAAAATAAGATAAATTAAAAAAAAAAAAAAACCCAAAAAACAACAACAACAAAAATCACCCCAAACCAGGAGTTTCAAAGTTCACAAGTGTGGTAAACACAGCAGTCACACCCCTCAAATGACAGTAGTGCAGCTCACTCAGTTCACAACAGGCCGTTGTGGGAAGCCACCAAAACACTAGCAACCGTCCCGGCAGTGACTCTCAAAGAGGTGTGTGGCACACTTGCACTCTCGTTTACTTGTATATATATATACACATATTTTTCCATAAGGACAGAACAGTCGATCAAACCTGTTTGGCTATCAGGCAGCTGAGGCGCAGCCAGCTTGCTTGTTTCTATGCAAGACAGACAGAAACGGGCCGGGGTGACGAGGCTGATGGGGAAGTTAGGGGCAGGAAAATACAACCAAATGTCTCGGAACCTGATAGAGACTTAAAAGATACAGATCGTCAGGCAACGCTTATTCTGCACGTCCGCTGACTCCTACGCTAGCCTCCGCAGCGGAAGAGCTTGGCTTACTAAACCCATCTGCCTTCAGTCTGCCCATTGGTCAATGTGTTGCACAGTTCAGCCGGATGGTGATGGGTCATCCAGGAAAGAGCCAAGAACGTGAAAGAAAACCAAGCACCATTTTGATTTGCTGCGTTCCCACCCTGCATACAGGACAGGCCGGTGGCCCTCCCTTAAAAGTTGGTTAAAAAAAGAATCACAAGAGGTTTGTTTACAGAACCCCGGATTGCAGCTGTCACTCTTGCGACTCATTACCACCCACTTACAGAGTGCTACCTCAAGTATCTGACTCTTGGCTTTGTCTTTCTTTATACGGATCTCCTTCACAACCCCCTATTTTTCTAAAAATAGAACACAGGCATGCTATCTGGCTGTCGACAAGACCAACTTATTAGTGGCACAAACACAAATAGTTATCTCCAAATTTTAAGGAACTTGACACAAAACATCACATTCAGGCTTTTCAAAAACACAAGATTTTCTTTCTTTCTTTCTTTCTTTCTTTCTTTCTTTCTTTCTTTCTTTCTTTCTTTCTTTCTTCCTTCCTTCCTCTCTCTCTTTCTTTCTTTCTTTCTTTCTTTCTTTCTTTCTTTCTTTCTTTCT